TGGCACAGCACACTCTGACAGGTAGAGTCCTCGGATTATAGCATCATCAAAAAATCAATAGATACTGACCGCTGGACGGCTTTGTCGTGTCTGGACAGCCTGTGGCTCGTGGTGGGCACCTCCTCGATCTCGTCGATGTCACAGGCGTCGGCATCTTGGGAGTAGTTGTGTTTCATGACGAGGATGTTCCTTCTGCTCACGGGAGGACCGAGGGGCTTGACTGGCTGGGCGGGCATGTCTGTCAGGATGGGAGCCTCTCTTGTGCTGAGGTTGCTGCGGCTGCCTTTCGTGCTGGACAGCTGGGATCCACAGTGATGGTCGTGAATGCATTTGGAAGATGACCTCCGCAGTTTATGGTAGTTCTCAAAGTCATCTGCCACGTCTGCAAAGTCGGCAGCCGTCCCTGTCCCTCTGAGGGTGCACAGCTCATAGTGTGGAGGCTCAAACACCTCCTGGAAAGCAGTCTGGTCAAAGTCTGACTTCCTTGGGACGTATTTTTTACGGGGCTGTTTGATCTGTACAATGACAGAAATGATAATAAGGATGATCACAATGCAGGAAGTCACGCCAATCACAGTCCCGCTGGTGTTGGTGAGCTGGTCCAGCAGGCTGGCTTTCCTCTTTTCTGCAGGTAGGAGAGAGCGGAGACGACAGACAGACAACGAGAGACAACCCACCACACGTTAATGTCACGGTCAGAACATGTGCTGAAAACTTAGAAACGAGATAGGCTGAGCGTCGAAATTTTGCAAGCTTAAAGCAGCAGAAGAAAATATTTTAAATTCAACAAAATTTCTTACTTGTTAAAAGGCCCTATCTTCTAGCCTTACGATGACCGTCCTATTGCCCAGCATCTCTGATTTCAATAAACATCCGTGTGTACACGTAGGTGCATGTATGTACGCATATTCATATATACATAATGCTGAAGAAATATGTACCAGGTCAAAATTGCATGACAATCAGGAATGAACTGGTGATTTTACACATTAACTTCTTTCTTAGTTACGAGAAAGCTCAAAACTCCCATATGAGGAACATGAAATGCATCTGTATCATTTTGTATTTATGTTTGACAGGGAAACTAAAGTTAAAACAACAGCAATATTGTGACACCAAAGGATAATCCATTTCAAATTCAGGACAGACATTTGGGGATGGTGGCATGAGGGCTTGCGTAGACTCTTTCCCAAATTAAGTAGCCATGACTGACAAAAATAGAGGCGAAGAGACAACGGTTTAAACTCTGTTTAATGGAACTCTGTAAAACATCCTGATGGTGTGTGGCGAATGCAGAGGCATTTCCTGGAACATATCTGCTAGATTTCTTTAGGGACAGTGAACTCCTGTGCTTCTGAACCATGACCAGTTCTTTTGGCCCTCAAATCATCATCTCTAACCACCAGAGATGCTTCAGAGAGGAACAGAAGAGCCCTGTTCACCCTGGAACACAGAGGAATGAAATCACAATATCTGAAGAAGTGGGGAAAAGAATGAGGAGAAATCAAGTGTGAGAAAAGCAGCCAGTACTCAACCATGCTGACATGATGGGAGTGCAGAGGGGAGGGGAGCGAAACCAGAAAACCATCCGGGAATTCCAGAAACTCGACAAGAGATCTCATATCCAGGTTCAACAGAGTCCAAGCAGGACAACGTAAGAGCACCACACCCAGACAATGTCAAAAATGTTACCAAGGTCACCCTGAAACGTAGACATGGACAAGGGACCACAAAGCAGCCCAGGAGAAGAGCCCCGAGAGGCCACGATCCGATTCACCAGTGGAGGCCAGCGGGCCACGTGGGGCAGACATAAAGTCCTACAGACCAACCGAGGGTCGCCACAGCTACACACCGCAGACCAAGACCAACTGCCAAGGCAAGTGCTGTCCAAGTGAAATGGAGAATACCAGGTAAACACAAAGGAAGAAGGAAGCCAACACTGAAGGAGCTGCCTTAAAAATGTATGGAGGGAGGTTCTCTGAGCTGGAAGCATGTGACCTAATAACAGATCCACATGAAAAAATTAGACACAGCAACTGAAACAGGAAAATGAACACATCCAAGGAAGGAAATTATGTGAATAATTATGGAAGTTCAGTTGCATATTTCACCCACATTCCTTACTTAAAATTGTAAAAAGGCAAGGTCATAGGGTATATAATGGTATTGCTGAGCTTATAACTTATGGAAATGTAATGTATTTGGTGATGATGATAAAAAAGGTTGGTAGAAACTAAACTGTTATGGGAGAAAGGAAATTATACCAGAGGACAATATAAATTCATGAAAACAAATGAGGAGTCCAGAAACATTCGATTAAAGGAGTTGTCTAACAAATTACATTAATCTATGTCTGCTGTCCTTTCTTCTCCCAATATGAGATATAAAAATACATAAATTAATGACTACTGCAATGAATTTAACATATATAGATGTAATATGGAGAAAATGTGAAAAATGGAAGAGGGAATAGAACTGTACAGGAGTAGTTTTTATATATCTCACTAGAATTTTTGTTATAAATCTTAAATATATCCTGAGAAATCAAGCTATATACTAAGAACCCTGAAGCAACCACTAAGAAAATAAATCAAGAATACCTTGAAAAACTATTTAAAATTAAAATGTTACTGTAGAGTATGTTAACTTATAAAGAAGAGAAAAATAAAGAAATTAAAGATAAAAAAATGAGACATATAGAGAACAAAAACTATAATAGTGAATATACATCCAACTATATTAACAGTGATGAAATGGGAATAGATTAAATGACTAAAGAAAAAAGCAGAGATTGTTAGACTGGATTTAAAAAAATAAGATCCAACAATTCATTGCCTTCAGAGAAAATGCTTTATAGGCAAAGACACAGTCTGAAATTAAAAGGGTAGAATTACAGTCCAAAGAAAGGTGGTTACACCAATGTCAAAGTATATTTTTAAGACAAAAAAAAAGTTTCTTAACATTACATCATTTTATGTTGATAAAAGGGTCAATCCATCAAGGAGACAAAAAAGTTGTAAATTTTTACAGACCTTTCCACCAAGCTAAAAAATGCACGAATCAAAAGCTTTACAGAGTTGAAGAGAGAATCAGAGGATTCAAGAATAATACTTAAAGAACTGAATACTCTCTCTCTTAATAATGGACCAGAGGCGAGAAAATCAAAAGGAAAACAAAAATCTTGAACACCTCTGAAACAGGCCTATTAGACATAGCAGTAGTATCTCAGATTCACCCAATATCAACAAGACACATTCCTTTCAAGGGCATGTGGGACATTCTTTTAGGCTACATTGTAGGCTAAGCCCCAACAGCAGACCTGATCAATTAGAAATGATTGAAGTAATAAGAAAGAAGTGCATTCTCCTATCACAAGAGAATAAACTGCAAACTTAAGTAAGTTTTCCTCATCTGGAGAAAGGGGTTTGGTTTTCCCCCAAGCTCACAGGTACACATTCTCTCAATGCTCTTGGCTCCAATGTTCTTTACAGGTATGGCCACAAGTTCACCTTGGGCAGAAGGCTGATGGTGACTACTACTCGTCTCCAGTGCTGCATAAGGGCAGGTCCGACAGTATTTAACTTCTCATTTGCTCACAAGTGGTTCTTCCACAATTGTCACCAACACCCCCATGGAAGTACTTGATACCAGACCATTCTTTCTAATGGACCTGCCATTCTAAATGACTCAATCAAGCAATGGCTACTCAACACTTCTGCTTGAAGAAAGCCTTTTGATAGATAACATTGGACTTTTATAAACATAATAGAATTATTTGCCTGTTTATTTTTCTTTGATAATTGTTTAATATTGACCTTGAGTAAAAGAGTTTATACGGCACTTGGAACTTAACTAATCAATGCCACACAAACCAGCCAAGTAACTCTGTTTAAATGAAAAAAAAAATCTGTGTGCATAGGCTAGAGAAGGGCTCAGGGACACTAGTTACTATTTTTATTGTAAAGAAAGAAAAGCATTTTGGTAGCAAAATAGAAGTGGAATTGGGTGGCGGGAAGCAATTGGAAGTATCAATGCCCCTGCAACATATTTTATCACTAGAAGATGAGCTCAAAGAGCAACAAAGACAAACTGGAGTAAATGAGAAGTGTCACCATGGATTTAAGGGGTACCCGTTACACTAGGGAAAAAATGTGCTGTGCTGTAGGCATCCATATAATTTCCATGGTTCTGCAGACTCTAACAAGTTTATTTCTTTAATGGCCATTCCAGTATCAATTATCGTCCAGTATACATGCACAAATTAGGAAACTTCTGGATACAGTGCAAATCAAGGTAAAGAAAATTGCTTACAGATTGGTTATATAAAACAGATGAAGCTCATAGAAGCCACTATATGCTCAATTTTTAAGTCAGGTGCATACAAACTTCCTTCCCATTCCTTAGGAAGGGAACCTTACATATTTCAAGATCTGATCATTACCTTTACAGTGATTTTCGTCCCAAGGATACACACAGTTCTGGAGTCCGTTGCAGACCAATGTATTGTTAATACACATGTTACTATGGCAGAAGAACGTGTTGCCTTCACAAGGAGCTAAAAACAAAGAACAAGACAAAGAAAGAGAGCTGTATCTTAGCTCAGTCATAAATCACACTGCAAAAAGATTAGATTGATAATTTGCCAATAGATCAAGGCAAAAAGTTGGCCATGCGATATTCAGAAGTATGGCTTTAGCATTCATTGTCTCTTGCGTATTTTTCTGTATTTTTCTGGGGGGCTCAGCTAATAAGACGGCATGAGACTTCTGCCATGAATCCTACCATCCACAGAGGGTTCTAGCTTGTTTTTAAGTCATACATTAATTGAGCAAAGCCTGTATACCGACTACTGATGTGGATTATTCTTTACAAAGAAATCCCACATATATAAAGTTAGTTTTGCTGTACAAAACCACATAATTGCAACATTAAAATATTTTGAAAAATATGTATCAGATAATAATGAGAAAATATTCTTAAATCAATTCCTGTGAAGTCATTTAGGCATATTTAAAAAAATACAAGTCATGGATACTCAGAATCAAGAGGAAATTAATCCTGAACATCAGAAACAATATATTAATTCAAATTTTATATACACACACAAAAAAATAAAACTAGCCCATTATGCAAGTATTTTATACATTCTAGTGACAGACTACAATGACCATGATTTCCAAATTATTATGCATATTTAGGCACTGTGAAGTATAACTGAAACTCAAAGAAAACAAGAAAGCTAGGTTGATAATTACATGGGACAGTCAATTCAGCAAGGTAAAATGTTAGATTTGATTTTAATGTTAAGAAAATGTTTCTTTTTATGATTAGAAGAATGGCATGTTTAGAGCAACCTCTATAGTAACACTGCATTGTAGATTAGAGTAGGTCCAGAGTCCTTTAAGACAAACTTGTTTTTACCGCTGTAATCACTGTATACCTCATGAGTTATAATTCTTATTGTTTTAAATAGTTCTGTAATTATTATACATATAGACATCCTAGAAAAATGTATGGCCTACACAAAATGGGTAATTTGTGGTGATTAGTTGAATGAGCAATAAAAACCTATTGATCTATTTTGCTGTGATGGAATCAATCCTCAGGCAAGTACCCTACACTGAGCTAACCCTCCAGCCCAGTGAAGACTTTTTAAGGATCAAGAATTTTTAAAACTACAGTCGTACATGATGACATGTTTTTTTCATTTTCAAAACTAGTGCCTGTGTTTTACAATATTAGCTTTGTTTGTCTATTTTAGATATGATTCAAAATGGTCAGGAAAATATTTTGCATAAGGCAACTTGGAATATTTTAACACTTCTAGATAAATTCTTAAAGTAAAATTCTCAAACCCCAAGAAGTCAAAAGCAAGACATAGCTATCTTGGATTTAGACACAGTACCTCCCCCCCACTCCCACCATTGACTTTTAAGTTCCAGGTAGAGGGTGCAAAGACTTCCTAGTCAGTTTCATTATATATTAAAAAGTAGAGAATACAGTCATTTTGAAAAGAACAGTCTCATACCTGACATTTTATTGAGTTAGTGACTTGTTAAGCACTATTAAAAACTGCTACAATGTGAAATTTAATCATCTAATACATTACTGCAAAAATCTGCTTTTTATTATGGTGCTAAATTTGAATTTCTGTAGCCAACCATAATCGTTTTTGTAGAACTTATATGGTCTGTTGAGCAGATAATAAATGATGTCAAAATCTATACACAAAGCATAAGGGAGTTTTCTGCAAATTGGTTTGAATAACTGCAAAATGGTTTTGTAAAAAGCATGACTTAATTCACTGCAGTGATTTCAGAAGGCTAGTCATCCAACAAGTAAAGAATACCTGTAGAGAGACATGAATATTTATTGATCTTCCATAAAGAATTGAAAATTATTATAAAAATTATCTAATAGAATGGGTTAACTTAATACTTCTAAATATGCAAATAAAAGCATTACTATATTCTGGATTTCAGTGAAGTTCAATGCTATGTTGATAAGAGCACTGACATTTGAATTTCAAGTAGTCCACATTGATCTTACTTGTTTCTGTTTCTTATTAATTGTGAAACTGTCAATTGATGTGCTGGAACCAGTAATCAAATTTTAGTGGTTTTACTGACATTCAATAGATAATCTAGGAATATCAATAAATCACATTCCTGATGCTTCTGGGCATTAAAAAATTTTGCAAACGTGCCAGTTTAATTGGAAATCATCATCACTCTTTTTTGCATTATTTTAGGCAATGCTTCATATCTTTTCTCCTTTAGTTTCGATAATTTATAGACTTCCTGGGCAAATGACAAACAAAATACGTGCATTCTCCGTCACACACAAACACACACCAAAAATGCAATTAAACACTGCATGGCTAAAAAACTGATCTATAACAACTATAACTTTGAACAAAAATTAATCTTTGTCTTATAAATAGCAAAAATGTAATTTTATATTGGTTTCTGAATGTAGTGAGCTTGTCTGGATACTTCTCTGATAAATATAGATAGGCAGTGGGTCCTTCAAGATTCTCATTTCTCTTCTGCTTAAGAACTCAAAGGGTACTTTCTGGTAACCAACTCAAGCTCACAGGAGTATTGGTCTCAAGGGCCTCCTGAGCATAAGCTGTGGGGACCCTCCTACTACAATCCCACTTCATGGGCAGAGAAAATAGAAACTGATTTGTTAAAATGCAGTGAAATCATCTAGTTGGTCAAGAGAATGGCATACATATAAAATACTATTGCTCTTGATTTAAATAACCACTTAATAGAAAGTGAACCCCATAACATTGCCAAAGGAGTCTTCCCTCACTGACCTTGTCTCCCTCACGAATCAGCCCATGTGCACAGTGAGAAGTGTACTGTTTGGGCTGTGCCATCAACTGGATTGTGAATAAAGCTCAGCCTTGTGACTCTGGCTGCAAACGGGAAGAATGCTTATGTATTTGCTTCTTCCTTGAGCAGAAGCAGGCTTCTGAGACTGACCAGTGACTGTGGGTGTTTTCAAACTCCTTGCTCTGGAGCTGGCTAAGCATTCAGTTACCCAGTTACCGCATCTGCCAAATAAGGGAAGGTAATGCTTGCTCTAGAGATTGCATTATGTCCAGAACATAGTGTGGCTATACAGACGCACAGAGGCATGTTGGTGACTGTGTGAGGAGAATGTTGCACAGAGACTGTGAGTCAAAACATCTCATTTTGAACAATGGGCCCAGCACTTCTTGGTTGTGTGACTCTGAGCAAACATATTCAAATGTTTTTGTTCCAGTTTACATCTGTCTGATGGTGACAATCTTTACCACATAGAGTCATCATGAGAATTAAATGTGATAAACTCATAAACACCATAAAACAGATACTGTCCCAGTGTATATGATAAATAGAGTTTAGCTATTTTTGAACTATTCTACTATGAAACTTACCAAATATAAAATAAAACTTTTCAATGTGGAGGAGATGAATGATACAAAATTTAAGTGACTTACTGGATACCGAATTTCTTAACTTGTGAAGTAGGGACTGTCATTTACGGACCCTTGTTAGCACAGCATGAGGATGAAAAGTTCAAACATATGATTGGGGTGTCCCTGAAACTAGAGATTCCGTGAGGCTTAGGTACATTTATATCCTGGAGGGTATATGTCTCTGCACATCCCTGCCCAGCATAAAACACTGGTTTGATTCTAAAAGGGGAGAAGGAAACAAAATTTATGCCTACTAAATATCTTGATAATTGTAAGTTTCAGCATGGGGTTGTACTACGTAATGGGAGAAAGACTTAACTGTTTTTAAGATATTTACTTTTGATATTCCATTTTTAACAGTTTCACAATCAAATATTTAACAGTTTCACCATCAAAATAACATGCATTCTTTAACATCAAATTGTCAGGTAGATATTCATGTCTCATTTGGAAAGACATGATAAACAATATTTAGAAGAGAATGCATCTTGGTTTGTTGGCTCCAATATAAAAGGAATGATTTCTCAAAGTGTTGAGTGATCCTATACAATTGAGGCATGAATTAAAGTGACAATATTTTCTTACAATGGTAGTAACACAATTTTCAGAAATTGCATACATTCAGATTTTATATTTATAGGTATTTTAACTGCAATTTTTCAATTCAAAGTGTGTCCAGTGAATAGTTATCCACACATTTCACAACTAGTTCTTTGGAAACACAAAATTTAGTACGATGTTTAACTTCCCAGAAGGGAAGAAGTATATTGTGAGAAAGTGAGACCAAGAAGCAGGGTTTGGGACTTGCTTAGAGTCAACTGCAAACTGAAGTTGTCAGAGAAGTTGCACGGCAAAAAAGCCTGTTCAACTTTGTTTAACATTTAATCCAAGTAGTTCTAATTTCATTTGCTCACAAAAAAAAATATTTTTAAACTTCAGGAAGTATCACCCTTGTGTTTAAAATCATAACAAAAAAAATCCTTAATTCTTAAGGAGATATAGAATAGTCTAGGATATTACAAGACATAAACTTGGGTGACAAATAAGAACATACTTTTGAAGAACTATAAAAACTCTTATGGAAATGTTATTGAAAATACATAAGTCAAAATGCAATAGTAATTTCTAGAAATTATTCCAATTACACTGTACTTAGCTCTTTTCAGATTTTTTACATAGACATGTATACACAGAATTAAAAGTATATGTATAAAAACACCCCGTGTAGTTTCATTATTGGGGAAAATCTCATAACATTTCAGGAAAAGAATACCAAATGTTAACCAAGAAATCCAATTTTGTCTATGGGATTTTTGAGTCTGCAAATGGTAATTTTTGCATGACATCTATACTTGGCTATATCCAAGAATAAAGAACTTAAAATGTATTTCATTGTTTCTAGGTTTTGGTTGTTTTCATTTTAAATTTTTTTCCTTTTGTTTTTATTTATTTTTTCCTTTTCTTTTAAACTTACATCTGTTCCCATTCTGACCACAAGGTGGCGGCCACACACTAAACTTCAGTGACAGTGTTTCAATCCTTCATTAGGATTGCATGCACCTGTGACTAACCACGTTTATATG